TACTGAACTAACTGGTCATAATAATACAGAATTTCACGTAATAACCCAAGACGATTACCGGTAACTTCGTAGGTTGCACTCTTTTGAGTCTTCTCTTGAATCACTTTTTTAACCTGCAGCATTGTATTCGTTGCATTGTACGTAATGTACTTATTAATAATCAAAATCTGTTGGCCTTGGTGTGTCTGTGTGTAATAAGTAATTCATCTTTCCTCAATTTTTCGGTGCACATTTCTCTGATAGCCAGTTTTCTTGTTTTTGCCGTACTCGTAATTATTAAAATCGCTTCAAATTCAGGATTTGATCATTAAATTATAAATATTTACAGACCTGTGTGCAAGCTTTTCTTTAGCTGTTAGTCTGTTAACTTCTGCATCGTTTATTTTGAAACTAACGATAAGTAAATCCTTACTGACCAGTGATTAAGTCTTTTTTGCTCTGTGGAAGGATTTAGATGTGTTATCCGCAATTCCGCACCACAACGTCGGCATAAGTGTAGATTTTATACTGAATATTTGCACATCTTTTAAAAAATCATTCACCCATACTTTTATTATGTTTTTCTACTATTACTAACTTAGCCTCGTACAATACATTTCTTACATTACATTTCTATCAGTATACCAGTATAATCGTGTATGGAAATCATTTTACATGTTTAATCTTTATTAGCAGCTCACAATCATAATAAATACGAGTACTCGTAGTTAAAATTTTGTTCAGATATGTTCAACAAAACAGTTTATTGTTTAAATACTATTTTTTGCCGGAAGTGGCAGCCGTTGAGATTAACTGAATAAGCTAACAGCCGTCCAATTTTAAGTTTACTATTTATGTAAGCCCGTCATACGCATTAAGGCATAATTACAGTATATAGATATTTTCGTATACCAGTACAAGCCATGTACAATAGATGTGCAAGGACGGATACAATTAAAATAATATTATTATTATATACAATGCAATGTATGTACAATGTCTACATGTATTGCACTGTAATAATTTAACATATGCAAACTTCCAAGTGTACTGTGTGTATCATATAATATAAACATATCGCCAACTGTCAAGTCGCAAGTCCTAGCTATGTGTTCTGTTTACAACTTTTATGCATACCTGACTTCGAATTGTAAAATCGAAAATTCGAAACATGTCACCTGACCTCATTTTCACTCCACGAAGTCGGTAACCTTACTTACCGATCTCCCTGTCCTAAGTGTCCTTACAGAAGTCAAAAGTGTACCCCGGACGCAGTTCCAGTTGTTATGAGCTGATGTGTACTGTGTAGTTTTGACTTCTGAGCATAGTTTTCGATTAGTTTCTGTTTATCAAACTATTCTCGTTTTGGATTTACTAATGTTATCACAAACATTGCTCCAGTGTTCCAGTTCTAAGATTTCGACTGTCATTGTTTACTATTCGATTCCGCATTATCAAATATCCAGTTTACTGCTCGTTGTAGGCAGTGTTTGTTTGTAGACTTTGTAAACAATGCCCGAACCGCCGCACAAGAAAGCCAGATCGGCTCCTTTAGGAAGTGCCATCATTTTCTTCCACGAATCTCAGGGCTGTCCATCCATGGTCAAAGGTGACAGATCTGTCTCATTTTCCTGTGAAATCGTAACAGCAATACGAAATCGCATTCCTACTTGAACAGCTCTGCCTCTGAATGCCCTGGAACCAGTGGAAGCTGGCACAGCACTGACCGAGAAGACGTGTGTCGCGCACGCTATCGCGACGGCTTGTACAACTGTATTGTTATCTGGATCGAAGAAGGTCAGTCCCGGTACACATCCGCAGGGGACAAACGACCGATCTGTCCATTCTGTGGGTTTGTTACTTTGTATGTAGAAAAACGGCAAATGAATTGGCCGCGGCGCGACTGTTCCCGTCATCCAATGAGAAAACATACGAGGATAAGGGCTATCGTTGGGCAGTGGAACTAGGCTTGATGCGCGCGGTGGGTTGTGGATTTCTTATTCAGTCGTGCAGCGAGCTGATGTCTTGATTCCTCTGCAGAAGCATGGAGATGCGGAAACAGCGCACAACGAAACCAAGGAGATGTGGTTCGCCGAGGTCAGTCATACGATGTCGGGAAATGCATTCTTGACATGCTAAAACACGAATTGAACGGTCTGCAATGCATTTGGCATCCCTTGTGTGACAAACTCGAAGATAATAGTTAATAAGTTTTTTATTGCCATAAAAGTCAAAAATTGAATTGAACGATTCCTACTTAATTCTCGTTTCACGTTCATTGTTTTGTTTCTTCAATTTTAAACTATGAAAGTAGTGTGTTGACTTGCATTCTGTTGTGAATATAAGCTGTATTGTTTCGTTATGCGACTTTGCCAATTTTACCCAATACACAACTCAGCTAGCGTTTTTCCGTGTATGTAATTTTTGAATTTAGTGGTAGTTTGGGCATCGTTGTAGAGTGTGGTGGAGCCCCGTTCCGCGTCGTGGGATTCGGCCAGTGAGGCACGCGAAGGATCCCGAGTACTGTGGATCTGGTCAGCAGTGCGCCCTTCCTCAATGGAGGCTCCGTCAGTATGGCGCCAGGTGCATCGCGGGTAAACATGCATCCGGCTGCAAACGACAGGCTGCTTGCTTGGTGGATGGTTCGTTATGTGTTTTGTGAGTGTTGATTTCTGCCGGCTTCTCTCCTTTTGCGGCCTGTTTTAGCAGTTGTTTGTGTGTTATAGTATCGAGAAAACATGTTGGCTTACCAGAATGGAACGGTGCTCAAAAGTGCTCGAGGAAAGCGCAGCGTAAGTTGACCCCAGTTTGACTGTCCACATTAATGTTGTGCTGGGAAGTGGTCAGTTTTTGAAAGTCTGCTTTGAACAGTCTAATGTTTTCGATTTTAAATTATCAGACTCTCATTTCGGATAGGCTCCTGAAGGTGAAGGTTATGCGTTAGAAGGCACACCGCCGTTTTCGTCCAGCACGTCACTTTCTTCGCCGATGGGTATGGATCCAGTGCCCCAAGTGAGATTTTGGTAAGACCATTTTCTGGTTTACTTGAGGAAACAAAATAACTGTTTTCTATTTCTTTTCTTTTGTTGCTTTATTTTCATGATCTTCATGGGTTTCACTGTTCCTTTTCGAAGTACTTGAAATTATTATATTTAGGATTGGTTTTCATATCTTCTTTTTTTATTTTGATATTCGTTATTAATTTTGTGATGAATAATTATCCATTTCCGTATTTTCGACTGTTAATGTTGCTGCAGTACTCGTACATATGGAATTAAATTTGCATGGTTTTGCTTGCTCATCGTGCCGTTTTTGCCCACCTTTTTATTATAAATACGAATAAATGCTTACAAAAAAAGTTGAAGAGTTGTGTCCTTATAGGATGCGGTTTTAACTCAGTCTACATGGAAAAAAGCCTTGAAACTGACAATGAAAAAGTTATTCACTACGGATGAGCTCATCAATTCGGTACCCACAGAGCGGGGCGCGCGGATGTCGAAAAACGGAAAAAAGGCGTTGGATCAAGACAGACTGAACGTTGTTAAAGTAAGTCGCAAGGTTTTGTTACGTGCGTAAACCGCTCCAGAAATAAAGTAGCGACTACGCGTACTCGAAAACAATATGCTACCCAATGCAAGCTAGAATCACATTGACTCAGGATTTGCATACTAATTAGATATACTTGCAGGTGTTGTGGATAGCTACTGTGAATTTAAAGATGTTCCCAATCCGCCGACAAAGGAGATGATCCACCAAGAATTGGGTGGAATCCTGTTTAGCATCCGCGAATCCCATAAGAAGCACAGCGGGGTTAAACCGAAAAAGGTCACCGGCTCAGTGTCGCATACGGCCACCAATGAGGAAAAGCCGCGCGAAGTCAAGGGTCATATTGGTAAACGCAAAAACGGAGTGCCGGCTCGGGCCATCAACTACAAGGCGCCGTCTTTTGTCGCTCCGCTTGATTTGTCGGATGGACGTTCTCCAGTGTCACTGTCACCCAGCTAAGGCTAAACAGTTCTAGTACAGAGAACGATATCGTTCTCTGTGTTTGTAGTAACTCTGGGTTTGGTAGCTTTTGGAGACCCTTGTGCATAAATTGCCTGTACTACAAAGTCTTGATTATGCACCGGCCAGTTAGGATTTTGAATTGCTTTTGTTGTGCAAAAAATTTACACACAGAACTCGTTTGTACTTCTATTGATATTCGATTATTTCTCGATTACATTCAAGAAAAGTTTTGTTGTTTTCTTACTTTGTTAATTTGTATGGTTGATGTAGAAAGGAGAAAAATAAATGTTAAAATATGAGATAGTATTGTCAGCGGCGTGTAATTTAACGATTTATGTGATGAGTTCCAAATAGTGGTGTTTTTGATTGTGCAATAGTGGTGTTTACTAGCTAGAACGTAATACTACCACCAGATGCTACCTTTAACCTTACCCGGTTAGCAATGATTCGTTCATCTTACGGACTGCGGTCCTGGAATTTTGCAACGGAACTTTGGTTTGCTTTGCCACTCTTGAGCCGAGCACTTCAGTTTTGCTGAGGTATTCATTTGCAGTAATGGTGCAGACTGCGAAAGGGTACGTGAACATACGGCTGTAAAATTAAAGCGAAAATGTCTGCGCTACGGTGCTTACGTTGCTGGATATTGTTCAGTTAGTTCCACCATTTCATTTCCACCATGTCACTGATTATTCCACACTCACTCCACAACTGTTATCCAGCGCTTGAAAAGTTAAAACGTGACTTCAATTAATTTTATCGGTTGTTTTTTTAAATTTTTTTTAATCGGTTGACCATAGAAATTTATCCATTATGGTTGAGATGTTGGCCCACATGCTGCATGACCTTTTTCGTTGGCGATAAAAACACAGAAACACGAATGGTGATGCTGTAATTCCGGTTTTGTTTGCGCCACGAATTTAATATTGCCATTAGCGCGATTTTTTGACTGGACGGCACCCTTAAATCGCGTTGCTTTTGTATCGACTATTACCAACATCGGATTATTATCGTTAATAATTTCCCATATAACAGGACCTATTAAGATTTTCGACAAAGATTATAAAAGCACCGAAAATGCTTCCCGAACTGTATCGTACGGAACACTCCACTTGGTGTCTGTCTTTCCTTGTGATTATCAGTGCGATTTTCGGTAAATTACAGAATACAGATTTGATAGAATGCAGGTAACTATGCTATATATTTCAGCGCAATCAGTGAAAATAGTGAATGACAGCAATCTGATACTTGGAGGCTAGGGAAGAAGAAAAATAATGAATAGATAAGTTATCACACTTTTTCCAGCTACCACACGAGGAAATAACATCACCTCCTCTAGTTTATTCGAGAGCGTTTCCAGTTCAACTTTAACTGCTACGTCAAACGTTACAAAACCACTTGAACCGCTGCTGACTTCGAATGCCGTAATACTGGCCTCTCTACCGGAAGTGACCACGCCAGCTTCCGCAGAATCATCTGCTAGTCCTTCGGATGTGAGTACCGAGAGTACAACATCCCCGTCCAGCCATCTCGTTCACCTTCCGGTTTCGCCACCACCGGCGGTGTTTCCGGTAAGGAAACAATTCAGTGTAACCGGCAGAAATTCGTAAATGTTTAGTAAGTCACTTGTGGTTCTTTCCAGGATGCTCCTCAAATGATCGACCAAAGACAAACGCAATTCGGTGAAGGTTATCTACCCGGTCAAAAGCCCTATCAGTTAATTGCACACACTCGTGAACCACAGCCCACAATCGATCCCCGGCAGCCAGGTGGACCGCAGAATTCCGAAGAAAAATACCACCAATTATTTTTCAAAACTATACTGAAGTTGTGAACGACTTTACTGAAACTGAACCCCCTCGATTTCTAAAGACAGTAATATTCGATTTCGGATTTGGCTCACCACGAGATAGGTATTCACGGAAGAATCACCATGAAATACGACAAATTCACTCGTACAACTCCCTGTCACTCACTATTGTCAGTCAAAAAATCGTCTACAGATACGGTGAAATTTATCCAAGGTCTCGGGTTTCCACCACCCATCATTACAGCCAAACGAATAAAGATGTTGATAATGTCCATGTAAATCGACATCATCCTGAAAATACAACACATTCCAGACCAAAACATAATAATTCACAGCCTTTCCCGTTAATCCCGTATATACTTTGTTTTTTTAAAGAAATCAGTTTAACCGTTTGAATTTTATTCTTCAACAATCTGCAAACTTCGAAATGTGTGCTTAAACTGAACAGCGGTAGCCAGTTTAATGAACCGCACTTACTAAATCAATCACAACGCTAATTTTCATTGTAAACTCTGAACAATCAAGTGCAAAAACTCACGCGTTGATGGGATCGTACTGCTTGATCATGCCCGGAACTCCAGGTGGATGCGTTTCGGCTTTTCGGACCACTCGTTGGGTATCGTAGAGCAAGAAAGCCGAAAATAGCAAAAGTCCTCCGTACATCGAGATCGAATACAAACCAGCCCCAATTGCTACAACCACGACAAAGACGGTTTTGCTGTTTTGAATATTACGCACAATATCACACAAGTATTATCGAAACATCCACGCTCTTTTTACCGGTTGTCGGCGGCAGGAACATTGAGCCCAGGGATGCGGCAAATACCACACCCAAGCCGATAGCCAATCCACCGCCCATGTAGAGAAACTTATCGGATGGCGCACAAGCGGCCACGGTGCTCAGTCCACCGACAATCCCAGCTGTGTACATGGCCGCGCGCATCATAATTGGGCCACCCAACAATGTCAATGGTGCAATTACCGCTCCGATCGTCGCTAAAGAATTACCGAAAACATACTTATTAAAGTACAGCAGACATCAACAGTTACAACACACATAAAACACCGAATGTACCGGCATGTAAAAGCCACGCCAGATGCTTAGGACCGGTATTTTCGTAAGCAATTGAGCGGGCTAGCATTCCGGTGCCGATCATGGCGCCAAAAGTCAGAAGAATGGACATCCATCCAGTTCGTGTCATCATACTCATCAGCTGAGGACTGCGCGACACTAGGTAAGTAGAGATGGCTGTGACTCCCAGCGATCCACCCAAATAAGCATATGTTTCGTGCACGCGCGTCCGGACATATTCTGGCCACATACTAAACAGCGTTCCACATTTAAACTGACATACCGACACCAATGCTGGCGATTCCCACTCACTATGATTTTTCCCATAAACCAGTCTGTTTGGAAAGTCCAAGCCCATAGTAACATAATGCGCCAATTCCAAACGCTGCACCGCCAGCTAAAGCTGCCTGTCCGATGCCGAAAGCTGAAAAATAAGGTAAGTATTGAACTGTAACAACAGAACATCACTACAGAGTTTTTCAATATTTGTGACTCCACAGTTTCCAGAATGTCCGAAACGTTTAATAACAATTTGAAACTTACGATATTTACCCATAAAGAGAATAAACAAACCGCAGCGCCATGTATTGTTCGTAATTGTACGTATTGTAACTTGTAAATACTTACTGATAGATCATGATTTTAATGATGAAAATTACGCACAGTAAAAATACGTAGTATTCACTCATTATTTGTTGAGAGGTTTAAAACTGCTCATATGTATTCCTTAACCAGCATCCTGGCACAATAGTATGACCATACTAGCTATCCACCCAACTAAAACTAAACAGATCGTTAATCCTACACTCTAAAACGTCAAGCTCTCTATGTAACTCCTCGAATAACATTGTAACAAGAACACACAAGAACCACACTGCCACATTACATCATCACAAGTCAAGAAATATAATGGGAATCAGGAAATACCAGTTTCTCCAGCGGGCGCCATGAGGCGTTCTTTAAGACTGAGTGGTTTCTCTTGGACTCGCTGGCGCGCCATAACGTCCGCACGACGCATTCTCGGTGCTTCTTCCGCCATATTCCGTATCTGGGCTCTCAAGATGGCCCGGGGAACAAGGGAAGAGCAAGAAAGACGGAAAAGCGACATGATGCAACTTTCACTCTTTACACATTAACAGTCAACTGAGCTGACCAAGTATAATCTGCCCACAACAATCAAAGCTTATCGTCAAAATCTTTTCCGATAATCAAACAGGATAAATTATTACAGCAATTTTAATTTCAAAAATCTGTTAATACAGATTTAACTTTTTAGGGTAATGTAAGTAAGTAACTACAAACTGGAAATGATGAACCATCGAGGCAGAAGTTTCCTATGGGAACTTCACACTTGCACAGGCGTAAAATATGCGTTATCGTTACCGAGTAAGTACGTTTTAATCATATTACCGATCAGAGACCGCCTCCGCAAGCGGTTACCCAGTAATAGCTACAATCTGAATGAGTCAGCAATAATGAGCGTTTACATCTTACGACAGCAAAATTACCAAATACCAAAGCCGATTAGGGGCCATCCATAAATTACGTAACGCCAAAATTCACGGTTTTGAAATACTCCCCTCCCCCTGTGTCACCAATGCTAACAAAACTGAGATCCCCTCCCCTAAGCGTTACGTAATAAATTCAAAATCCCATAAGCGACACCATTGTGACGTCATAAATTTAACAAAACGCAACAAAATTTTTAAAGCCCCCCTCCCCTATGTCATAAATCGTAACGTTTTAAAGACTCCCCCCTCCCCCTACTTGCGTTACGTAATTTATGGATGGTTCCTAAATAAGCAAAATAATTACTGTATTTTCACGAGTTTAAGGGACACGAAAATGCCCTAGGTCTGCTCGCAGCCATCCGGGGCCTGCAGCTACGTTCAAACTGATTCACTGACAATGCTGTTCACAACTGCAGGGAATTTTCAGTTTCGAAAAAACTACCACTTCGAGTAGTACATCTTTTTCCTTCTTTTTTGGATATCCACTACGAAATTCTGAACGCAATAATTCGGAAAAACAATAGTAACTCCCTCAGCTCGGCTTTTGCACAAGCGCTTTACGACTTGAAACGACGGCGTAGCTGCTGATGGGACAGGACCACTGATAGATTTTGTTCGTGCTGATCAGTACACAAAGATTGGCACAGTCTGATTGATACGGTCTTACCTCGCTCAAATTAAGAACTCATGCACTCCGAAAACCAAAACAAATGATAGAACATAGAGAAAACCTGAACGATTCTGCAGAAACGCAAGGAACAATGTTGTCTCTAGTTCCCCCCCTGGCCAGGGGTAGCCACTGGCACACAATGCAGCAGTCAGTAGAATTATAATTTTGGGCCAATTAGCAATGCGAATTTGCCATTATAATTCTGCTAACACAACTTGTTAGATAATCATGGATATCCAGAAACGAAGAGTACTACGGATTGTGAAACTTCAAACAGTAGCCCGTAATGAGCAATAGCAAATTCAAAAAATTAATTTTTAATTTCAGGGCTGAGTGAGCAGAACTGAACGTAGCTGCAGGCCCCGGGTGGCTGCGAGCAGACCTAGGGCATTTTCGTGTCCCTTGAACTCGTGAAAATACAGTATTTGCCTTAATTATTTCGTTTTATTCTAAACGGCATTACTGAGTGAAATACTGACTGTACGAGTTGGACAATGGACTACTGCTAATTTTTTTACTTTCTTCAAATCCATGCTGAGTAAGCTCCTGAGCTCACAGTTTTTAGTAGGCTAGGGGCACGAGCATTGAGTCCATCGGCACTCCGGCATACACTAAACTAACAAAAGCCTAAATATGCGGTAGCGAAACAGAGAAATTAAAATATCCGAAGTGGCATCCTCAGAATTTTCAGTACTTTATTTACAGTACAAGCAGAAAACTGTCAAAAATTAAGTGGTCAGCATTAGTGCGCACTCAATGACACAGGACACCAATAAACTTTATTATTACTGCACTTCGTTTACGCTGTCTCGGCTTGTACGCCTGACTAGAAAGACAAAAACACACAACTGCATGGAATTCGTCCATCGCTTCAACCAACAAGTTGTCAACAGTACTTTCACGACTTTTTCTTGGCTTTGTTGTAATCCAGGCTGCCTAAATCCTTGAGTGAAACCTGTCCTGATCCCCTTTCCGCCGGTTTCCGCTGCGATTCATGCGGCTTCCAGCCGATCATGTACAAAATCTGAAAGGTGGCAGGCACCTGTCCGTCCTTATTTCCGTAATTTTCTCGGTACAAAGAGGCTGCCGCCAGCAGCGTATCCCGAGGTAGACGCAGCTTTCTGGACCATGCAGCATTAGTTTCTCCCATTCCTTTCAGATCCCACATTAACTCAAACATAGACGGATACATAACTGTCAATTCATCAATATCCATGGTCAACAGTGTAAAGCCGGCCTGTAACAAACAATTAAATTGCAACTTCCCAAACTTGCCTTGCATTCAACAACCACGTGCAGTTCAAAACTGTTGAGCGCAAATATTTATTAATATAAAAATATCAAAATATATGCACCCTGTTGAGCAAATTCCCCAGATCCGTAATACTGGTGAAGGGTGAAATATGCGGAGAAAATCCACCTTCCTCTCCAGTTCCGCCAACTGCAGGCGCTGCGCAGCTCAAATAAACTCTCACCGCCAAACATGGCGGCTATCATGCACCCGTCAGGTTTCAAAGTGGACCAAATATTGCGAAAGACTCCGGGAAGATCATTCACCCAGTGCAACGATAGACTGGACACCACCAGATCGAGGCTGTTGGCGGCAAAGGGTAATGGAGCTTCTTCATCATTCAGACAGCGAATGGTTTCCACTTCGGGCGAAGCGGCGGAGACATCCAGAATCGCCTGACAGGAATCGATAAGGTGCAATTTCCCTATCATATCCGAGTAGACATGAGGAGCTATAAAGCCTATAAAACAATAAAAAGACAAACTTATGTGCTATGGAGCTAACAGAGCGATCAAAAAATTCAGTTACGAAAAAATACAAATATTAAAATATCTGTTGCATAGAAAGGATAAAAAATCGCTGCGAAGTCGCATTATGCAAACTGCAGTAAACAGAAACTTTACGCACACCTTTTCCACAGCCGAGATCAACAGCGGTCTCAAACTTCCTGCTGACATCCTTAATTCGATCGGCCACACGGTAGCCGATTTCGGAGCGGATGTAATCATACGTCTTGGTGCTGAAATCGGGAAGAGCTACCGTTCGTTCCCGCTGGCGTAGTTTGGCGGTCCGGTCAAACACATTCATAACGGTTTCTCGACGCTTCAGATTATCCGCGGTTTGAGGAGCAACAGAGGACGACGAGGAGTAGCGTTGAAAAGCTGAACTAGGCCCTGGAGAAACCGAATAGTACTGTTGCCGGAGCGAGTGTACTGTACTGCGCGCACGGAGTCGCTGGACTCTGGAGGCACCATCGTTGAAATTCCGTATCACGTTCCTCATTTTTTAAAAATTTTCAAATTGGGAGAAACAAAGTGTAGCCACCACGGTCCAGCTGCGGTACTACATCTTTGCTTTTGCGGACTGACTGAAGGAAATATACGCATTACGCACTAATGGTATTCAGTGCTGACTGTAGTGGTTATTTAGCTACGAGAACATGCACAGTATCAGCCAGTAGTGGCGCTGGCGCAGCCATCAGGTACCTTCAACATGTTTGCTGTTTGGATTTAGATTCTAAAATCTAGCACCGTTTTTCATAAAACTTCATAAAACAGATAAAATTACAAGCTATAAACTATAAAAAAACCTTATCTTAAAAATTAAAAAAGCAAATAGTATGACTGACAAATGACTTCAGCAAATAATAATTTTTATGCCTTTCGGTTCATAAATGAAAATCTATCAATAAAAATCCGGATACTCAGGTAACCGGACCTAGGGGAGGTGAATGCTTCGCTCCTGTGAGATAGAAACTCATGGTCAGACACGAAAATTTATGTAATTACTGTACGAGTACTAGCATTATATTTGTTACTTTAACTTGGTTAGTAAATTGTTCAAGTTCTAATTATACTTTTACATTAATTCGTCACGTACGCAAGCATCTGCATTTGCTGCATTAATTTTGTCTGCCCGGACTGCCCCGTTAAATCCAGCTAAAGCTTTTCATCTGCACGGGTATATCCGGGATCACCATACCGCATAAAGATTCAACAATTCTCATCTAATGCTAAAACACGAACATAATGACATGCCATTAGCATTTTACGAAACACAAAAGTGACAAAACCATCACCATACAATCTGTAACTTATGTTCCTGTTGGCAGTAGTATCATTCGGGATTCGATTTCTTTGCCTGCCCAATTTTTTTGTTTAGCCAGCAAAACGTATTTTTCCTTTTGCCTAAACTTTTTCGGATTCAGTCCATATGCTTCCAAGCGCTTATCGCTGATTTTAGCTGACGGCAATGTCTTCAAGAATTCATCATATTGTTCTTTTTCGACCTCTTAGCAGCCGGCTCGGTAGAGCCAGGAAGAGGAACGCTCGTATTCACGGGTTTCTTGTTTTTCTTCTTCCGCTTGCGTTTCTTCTGCTGAGTAGATGCATCGTTCACTGTTGCCAATTCTCTGGGAACTTCTTCATTCGGCTTCACATTCACACCAGGAATTTCAGAACCGACTACCAGAGTATGCACGGGTAGTTTACTTTCGGTACCGAGTGGATCAACAGTATCCGTATGCTTTCTCTTCTTCTTGCTTGGCGTGGCTTCAGTGGAATGCGTTGCGGGAGCCTGTACTGGCTCAACACCATCCTCTTGTAACGTAACGGTCTTCTTCTTCTTCCTTCGGCGCTTTTTCTTATGCTCCACCTGTGCTGGATTTTCATCGGTCTCACTAACTTCCGCCTCAACAAGCGAAGGAATAACTCTCTGTTTCAATTCTTGCTGTGCTCCTTTCTGACCAAACGATTTCAAGTCGCGTGCCTCTTCTTCCTCTGAACGGTACTGTACCGTCTTTTTCAAAGAGCACCATGCATTCAGTTCCCGATCAGGAGCGCGAAGAATCTATAAATTGATCAATTTAAGCCATGCGCACAACGAAGCAAAAACTTTAATATTTCTTTCGGTACAAAGTGCAAACCTCATCAACCGATAATCCAAAATTGTTGGGGACAACGGATCGATATTTAAAACGACATGGTATTCCGCTGACAACGTCCTCGAAGTCCAATTTGTAATACTCATCCAAATACTCTTGCAATTTCTTGTCATCTAAACAATTTCCGTAATTAATTAAATGTAACTCTGTTAGATAATCACTTCAACAGACAAAGATTCGATGCTTACTCGGATCAAAAGCAGGCTTTTCATTCTGCACTGCTTCTGACACTTTTGTTCGTCTCCGTCTCCTGCCTTTACGTTCCGTCGTCGATGTACTGGTGGATGGCAGATCATCGGACGCAGCAGCATCATCGGCAACCGCCTGGGTATCAGATTGTGCCCTGACCTGTTGCTTACGATTGCCCTCGTCCTCTCGATCAGCTTCTTGTTCTTCAAGCCAATTTT